ACAAATATAATAAAAATACTCTTGTTATAACGAATTGGCCAATCAAATCTCTTAAAATCTTCACTATAGCCTTATAGTGAAATTGAGATCTAAGACATAGAGTTCATTATAACAAGAGTTGACTGTATACTGGTTTACCTTAGTTTTAAAGCTTTTATTAATTGCAACATCTAATAGTTGCAATTTTGATATGCAACCATCCAGAATTATAGCAATATTTGTGTTTTTTTCTACTAATCAATTTTTAACTAAATTTACAATATGATCGCGAAAAGAATCCATCAATAAGAAACGTGGATTACTAAAAGGATTTCTTGATATCCATACAGTTTTAGTCCACTATAGCATCTCTTTTTCATTCATCCACCCTTTTTCATTTGCTCGTATATGAATACCATGAAGAAAATTTTCTCTTAACAAATTTTTCAACTTAAAAATGTAAACTACTGGAAGTTTGCTACCATTAGCTATACATGCAAGTACAACTGTAAAAGATGAATGCTTATGACCTGTAATACGAATGCTAACTATTTTTGTACCTTTATGATCTATGGTGGAATTATTTGGTAAATCAAACCATAAAAGTGTTTCATCTATATTACCTATGTATTTTAACGGATAGTCATGCTAAATTCTTCTATATAAAACATAACTTAAAAAAATATTTTATTTTTCAAGCAAGTCTTGTGGTAATTGTTATGCTATTGTTGTTCTGCATTGCTAACTAAGATTATATCTTCTCAAAAATCCACTTAGCTATTTGTTTGAAAATTTGAATGAAATGATATTCAGATTATTTGCCAAAAAATTCTGATTTTTAGATAGCATGATTGCTTTATTAGTAATTATTTTTCGGCTAACGGCATTTTGATTTATTCTTCTATCACAAACCCATGTATATAATTCATCTTCCAAATCTGTATATTTAGCAGATTTACCTGGATGAAGCTTAAGAATATGAGGTGCACATGCCAATAATTTTGCTTTATTATTATTCCATTCGCGTACTTGTTTTGGTTAAATATTAAAATATTTGGCAGTTCCACATTTACTTCCTCCATTATTTTCCAAAAAATGCACTACCATTAATTTTCTCATATTCCATTGTCGTCTTTTCTTTTGTGGTAAACGATTACGTGCTTTTTGATTTTTTTATTTCCAATAATAACCATTTTTACTTTAAAATAATTTGCGTCACAAATAAAAGACAAAGAAATGAAAGCGCGTTTATTATTTATAAGGATTTATTACACAAAATAGGGAAAGAAACAGATAAATGTGATTTTTATTAATCTTTTTTTCCCAAAAGGATAATTTACCTTACTTCTAAAATATAAATATGTCCGGATATTATATATGGCAAATATCCTGGATACTTTATAAACCTTATACCCCTCTTATGCACAGTATCCCTACTGTATCCCCCTGTATAATATACCCCAGGTATAGCCTTCAACTCCCTAAAATTTGTATCATACCCAGGGTATTATGGCCCCCGTTATATGGTAAATTGTATTACAAATTAAAATCACTGCCAAGCATTTTATTTTGAAATTATTTGTTCATCTTAGTATTGTTTTTACAAGATAACAAAATAAAATAGCGAATAGAAAAATTTATTTTAAAGGTTCTTTTCTACCAAATCAAGTTCTAAAGCTTTTATATATACAGCTTATCAATCCTACAAAGATCCTATTTTTTTTTAAAAAAAAAAAAAAATAACTAAGAACGTCATATATTTCAAAAACAAATAAACAAATAAATAAATATTTATACCAGAAAACTATATTAGGAATGTTTTGAATAATCGGCTGATCATAATAATAGCATCTCCAAATGACTACAAATCGAGTAATTATTAAATGAGTAAAAATTAAAAAATTACACACAACACACAACAATCAAAAATAACAAACCTAGAATAGTATTTCGGAAGCCATTAATAATAAAATGTATAAACAATATTATAACAAAAAATATTGTTTTCTTATAGGAATTGTCTAATAAAAAAATAATTAGTAAAATTTCGAAACCTAAAAATTTATCTGATAATAAATTTATTTACTTTGTAAAAAGTTAAGATACTTATCCGTAAAATTCGTAACATACTAAAAAAAATTTATTTAGTTAGTTATAAATCGATTTATTTAAATTCAATGCAATACTTACTTCAACAATTTCTTTGATGATATTCGTGTAGAATTGAATTTTTTCTTGAGTATCTTTTAAAGTCGAGTCAACTATTTCTTTATGCTACAATTCAAAAAACTTAGATAAAAATTTATATATACTCATTTTCTTTCGAATTTTTTACCTTATTAAATTTATCAACTATTTTTTCAGAAGCATCCTAATTTATTATGGAAAATATTATCGTTATCGAATTAATAATGATAATATTAATTTTGAAATAAAGTACCTGAATAATTTCTAATGTGTTTTCTAAATCATCCTTTATTGTTTGTTGGTACTAAAAATAAAATTATTAGTTATATTGTAGTTTATACAAAATATTAAATTATTATACCTGAATAATATGTTGTACAATATCTCCAGAAAAATCCTTTAACATACATAATATTGTAAGTAAGTATCTAAAATGAATATAAATACTATTTTAAATCTTACCTTGATAACTCGTTTTGCATTTTTTCTTGAAGTATCCTGAATAAGTATTTTAATTATCAAACAATGTATATCCAAATTTTTGTTTAATTATTTAATTCTTACCATAATGAATTCATTAAATTCCTATACGTTAATTTAAAATTTTTCGTCATTAATATATTCAACCAAAAATTGAAATTATGCAAATTATAATACCATAAACTCCTGTTTCATTTCTTTGATACTTTGCTCTTGTTCTTCTTCCCGCTTTTTGTTTGATTGTAAAATAAGTTTAAGATATTTCATCAAATTATTCGTATTCGTCCGGTGATAATAAACAATATTATCTGAAACTCATTTTATTATGTTCATTAATTAATTAAGTTAAACAAACAATTTAAATTAATTAAAAAATCAAATATTTTATACCTATTTTTATTTTAATTGACAAAGAGTTGCACATTTGAACTATTAAAAGAAAAATTTAATCCTGACGCGTAACAAAAAATAATCGAAATCATAAATGAATAAATAACTTACAAATTCCAGTTTGATATCTATAATATGTGTTCCATATTTGTGGAAATTTGAATATTTCTCTAATAAATAAATTTTTTTTATAGATAAATATATAACAAGCAAATAATATTAAATAATCAATGTATGTCACTTGAAAACTCACTCAACACATCTCTTAATATTTAATTCGTCGTCAATTTCGTTACATATTTTAGGCATTACCGTGTTAGCGCTTTCTACAATGCATTTTGTCAGCAAAATTGCATCTAGAATATATTCAAAATATTAGAAATATTGAAAGTTAAACATAAAACCATTTTACTTATTACATTTTTTTCTATTGTCTTCAGAAGTTTCTAATTTTTTACAATCTCCATTAATAGATATTGCTACATTTTTAAAACAATCGGAATCATTTTCGACATTTTTCAGCAAATCTAAGTGGTATAACAATAAGATTATAATTATTGTATAAAATAAAAAATAAATATAATTGAAAAAAAAAAATTATTTTTAACTTACTTTTCATTGCGGACACATGTTGAGATTCTTGACCTTGTACTTGCTCAATTGACATTTTGTGTCCTATTACTATAAATTTCAGATTTATTATTTTTTGTTAAACATAACAACCTTAGTAATTGTAACAGTAACATAATCAAATGGATTAAATATCAACTTGGGTATTTATAAGATTTTTATTTGTGTTAAAAGATGTTATTTACTTTCAAATTCATAATTACCTTTTGATAGAATTTCTTCCAACAATTCTTTAAGAAATTGTCCAAAGCGTCCTCGTTTTCATGAAAAAATTGTGAAACGTGTATCGTTAAACAAATTTCTAAGCCACTCAATCTCCTAATTTAGAATTCAGAAATCGCGTACAAATGAACTTTCGCGAAAATCAAATGTTATCGATGCGCTTATATTTGTATTTGGTTATCGAGCAAATAAAATGAGGCAAGCCAAATTATCAGAACTTATTCATTCATCACAGTGATGTGAAAATCTGGATGCTTGCAGTGTTAAAGAATTTCTTGACTTGGTACTAATAAAGTTTTTAATTTCCAAAAAAAAAAGAAAAAGTGAAAAAAAAATTAATAATACATGTTGTTCAATAATATTATAGCCTGGTTCGGATAATTATGAGATTCTATCACAATCCCAATTGGTTATCTCGCGTCAAGCTTTTCGCAATAATGCAAGCATT